AATAAATTATATATACATATAAAACTTATATTTATAATATTATTCTATTTTTATTGTAAATATATTTTTATAGCTTACTTTACTTTATTTGTTAATATTTTTATTGTTACAAACTAAAAATTAGAAAAATAGTAACAAAAGTCTAAATGTTTTTATATAAATATGCAAAGTTTCATTGCGATTTAGCGATTTCAAGACTTTAAAACAAGTATTTTATTTATCTAATGGGGACAACTAATTTCTGCATTACAATGTGAAACTTTACATAAATTATTTTAAATATTCATTAAATTATAATTTTTTTTGCGTACCGATATGATTATCGGATTTTCAACGCAGTCGATCTGAAATATTTGTAATCTCCCCAAATTTTTCAAATTTAATCTTTAAAAAACTGTAATAAATTTATTGCGAAAAATATTGCCGGGAGTCGTACCCTGATCATTATAATTATAATTATAATTTCTGAAATTAATTCATTTAAATGAATATATATAATAGTTCAACATCTTAATATTCAGACCGTAGTGGCGCTTCGCATTTAAAGTAATGTATCTAACATAAACGATCTTATTTTCAATCTTATTATTGTTTAAATATTCATATAAAAAAACTAAAATTTTATTATTTTATATAATACATTTCCATATATCTCTATTAGAGCAAAGATTTTTTAAATACTATTTCTTAAAATAACTTTTGATTCAGATGATAAATCGTCGTTAAAAATTTTTTGTATTATTTTATATGAAATCCAGAGTAATTTGTAATATATATCTTCATAATTGTGTTATTATTTTGAAATATCTATCGTACCTTCTCAAGTCAACTTCGATCTGGATTTAAGGATTTTTGATTCTTGAAAAGTATATCTCATACGAAAACCAGGAAAGTTTATAATATACGAAACGTATACTATCATGTATTTCCGTATATTTTCGTCTGTAATACTTTTCAGGAATCTAGACTCTGGAGCGAATGGTTTTATACGAAAAGAAAAGAGATTGTCTTCTCGAGGCAGAAAAAAAGCTTTTCCTGGGAGAGAGCCATTTTCCTCAAGCGGAAATAAACCCAGCGAAATATAGTAATTTGTAATACGTATAAGCAATGTCGACATTAAAGTGGTAGAACTTTTTGAAACTTCACGAAAGATATCAACTTTTTCGAAAGATATCTTTAAAGATATGTATGTCCTGCTTTTAAAAGTTAAATTCCTGGTAAAATCGTGTAAAGATTCGTATGTACCGCATATCATAAGCAATCCTTTTCGATATGTCCGTAAAAAAAAGATAAATTATTCTTAACAAAATATAAAGGGATGATTTATTGTTATATAAATAAAAAAATTTATCATTTTTAAAATATTTTTAAAATCGATATACATACTCAAAATATCTTTTGATTTAACTCTTAAGAATATTTCGATTTTTCTGAGGAATTCAGAACTTCCCTCGAAGCATGAAGGGTCTATCTACGACGCAAAAAGTATTTACTATTAAAATATATGGAAATGTATGCACAGAAGAAATCCGCGAGAAATATGCAAGCATCTATCTTTACAATCATTGTAATGCACGCATGAAGGCGTAATTCTAAACAAAAATTAGCAAGCGTGATAATACACAATATTTTCGATCTCGATGACATTGTAATATTTATAATATTTATAATTTTGATCGGACAAAGTTATCTAAAGACTTGGGATTTTGCGAAACTCGACTACATGAGATAAGCATGAGTATAACGTCTCCATATGATTTGAACAATCGAAGTCCAAATTTTCTGATACGACTATTTGCTTCTTTGCTTTTCTAATTTGATTATTAATTTTGCTGGCTTTAGATTCTCCGAATTATCCGAATGGTGAATTTGGCGTACTTCGATCAGTGAAAGAACGTGGATTCAACGCGTCTCGCATTTTATGAGTATATTCGTACATCCTCGCTAATTATGTTTGATTGCACCATCAGCCGTCTGAATTAAATGCCCGAACAGATAAAAGGTTACATTAAATCAAAATGAATTGTGACTCTGATAAATCAAAAAGTGAATTTTTAATTATCATATTGACACTATTTTAATGTCAAGAGCTTTTAATTGTTCTGCTAACTTAATTTTACGATCCGTTGTTTTTGTAGCGTATTTTGTAGCGTTTTCTTTTGGCTGCACTGATAATTTAGTGCACACTGATAATGAGTGCATGTTAAAACTGTCGTACATAAATTGTAAAGATGTATGTTTAATGTAAGTATAAAACCGAATTAAATCATGAAATCCTCAATACATTTTATTGTGCTGTTAAAATCTGTATTTTATAATTCGAAATATATGAATTTTACTTCTACACACAATTTAAATCAGTGTACTACAGCTTTAATATGCATTCAGTGGTGCACTAATTCAACCAAAAGAAAACGGTATTAATTACTCATCTTCTCTCAAAAAAAGAAAATTTAGCTAAACAAAATCGGATCCTAATAATATTGATTAAAAGCTATCTTTTGCAAATGATGATTTCGAATGAACGTTCACACCGATTCAACATCTCCTACATAATTTCACGCAATCGTGCATTTACATACGCACATTCAACGGTATTCGAAATGGGAATAAATATTCGAGAATGATTTTTTTTTAACTTTAAGACTCCACAAACAAAACAAAGTTCTAATGATATTAAAATGATATCAACATAACTTCAAAGTGATCACTAAAAAAAGTATTTTTTCATTCATGATTTATTTTAACATTTGACATTATCATGACTTGATGTTCTGCAATGTTCTTGAGTATCACTGCTACCATCATGGATTGTAATGTCAGAAGCGAGAAAAACACAGAAAAATTTCTTATAAACTATATTAAAATGTATTTTTTAATAAATATTTCATAAAACAGTTAACAAAATAGATTTGTAAAATTCACCGAAAACTCTCCTTGTGTTCCGGTAATTAATAAATGACCATATATTTGAAATTAAATTATATCTATAAATGAAAAACGAAACAAGCTATATGACAGCTGTTGAATTGAGATAAATATGATTTTATTTCATTCCGAAATAAAGAGTTTTCAATATATTTTATAATTTTACAAATATATTTTATTAAATATAAATATTACGTTAATAAAGATATATTATTTCAATATATTTTACCAGAGTTTTCGTTACGTATATTTCTCACTTCTGACGTCGTCAATCCGAAGATCCATGATGAGTAGTCGAAAACCTTAATAAATGAGCTCACTCGATTACAAAAATTCTACGATCGACATTTCTCATTCTCAGAAATCAACAGATTATCAAAGCTCAGACCTTCATCCAAACCAATATGTTCTCATTGTTCTGAGGATCAATCTTCCGATGCCGCTTCTTTCGACAATCAATATTAGTGGTGTAGCTAAAACCTAGCCATTTCAAGAGACGCATGAGCGCAAAAATGTAATTGAAATAATTTAATTATTTTTTTATTTTATCTCCGTTATTAACAAATCGTTTTTACGTGTTCGATTGGCGTCACAACGAGCTTTGGATGTTCTTTCATTTTCTTCTTACAATGATATCAATTCTTTTTACACAAAAATCATTTATTATTACGTACATCAACTACCTTACCGATATAAATAGTTTTTATATAGTTTTGTATTCTTGTATTTATTTCTTGTTCGTTTGTTGGATTTTTTCTGATTTTTTTATAATAGTTCTTTGATATAAAATCTTGTCACGCATCTTCCTCTTCACAACTTCTTGAATTAAATCTTTAAATCAGTTCTTATGCGTTTTCAAACTATGAAAATTGAAACAGAATTTTTCAATAACTGTTTTTTCAATAACTGTCTTTGTTGTTATTAACAATTGTCGATTAACAGATGTAATATCTCTCGTTTGTTATTCACAAATTAATGGTTTCTTATCATAATGTTGTATTTTCATAAACACACTGAACACACATCACTAGAAATTTGGTGATTAAAAGATGTTAAAGTTTCTTAATAATTTCTTGCGTCAGCCATTTTTTGCTATAGAGTTAAAAAAAGTCTGAAAATACACGCAACGTTTTTATACAAGAATTACACTAATTATATTATATAAATAACTTTTCAACGATAAAATCGTCAATTGATAGGATTAATAGATTGGATTTTTATGTAAAAAATTATAACAATTATAATGTTATAACGGTAACAATTTTCTTTGAATTTTTATTAACATACAAACAGAAAAATTAATCTACAACATGTTTCACACACGAAGTCTCCACTTCATATGCAATTCTTATCAACTTTAATTGATTTTCATTTATCATTGTTACGCAATAGAATTAAAAATTAATTAAAATTAGAATTTTATATCGTTTATGGAAAATCATTCAAAAATTATTAATTTTATTGTTATCTAACATAATCTCCCTTCTTTTCTTTTTATCGTAAATTATTTGAAGGACGAAAGGGCGGTGAAATAAGACATGGATGCCTGCATCATCTTAAAATTCAAAATAATTATATATCTCCACAGTACTGTATAATGTTGTATCTATAACATTTGTTGAATTGAAAATAGCTATTCTTACCGAAGCATAATTCGCCATCGATAACACGTACATTTTGCCAGCCGTTAATGTACAAGGCACAAAACCTCTGTAGAGTAATATACTCAATAGCTGTGTCGTTCTTCGCGACGTTTTGTACCACAACATGTTGTATCTACAAACAATAATGCAACGCATTACCTTCTACAATAATCAGCTGTTTTCTTTTAAATAATTGAATTATTTAAAATAAATTTGGAAAGAACGAACGACTTAAAGAAATAGAAAATAAAATAATTTTAAGGCCACTTAAATAAGCTGAGAAATAAATAGAACAGTTATTCTTCTACTGCTGAGGATCAGAAAGTAAGAAATTTTAGATTTTTCCCGAAAAATCTATCTGCATTTTACCACAGTTTTGTTTTATTTTTCCACATCGCGCGAATAACGGTTTGCGACATATTTACGCTTTGTGGAATATATCTGCACTATGGTCCATTATTCTTTGGCCGGGATAACTCAAAACGAAAAGATGTATGAAAGCACCTATTACCATCGCTACATATCTGACCATCTCTTCTTTATGATTCATTAAAGAAATTATCTGCAAAAAAATTAAATTCAATCAATGCTGTCCAAGATTTGTCATTTTGGTTTGACGCTCGGTGTTCGCGCCTATTACTTTCTTTTTTGTCCATTATAACAAATAAAACAATAGTCTAGGTAGAATAAACAGTCATAATATCGTAAGATGTTATCATGTCCGGTAAAAAATTGTTTATGCATGAGTATAAATATGTATAAACATACGTAAATATTCATAAGCATGTACAATCATATATGAAACATATCTATACATGTTCATACATCTCTCTTTCTTTTTAAAATTACATTTTGAAGAAATGTAAAAAGATTACTTATGTATAAATATATATAAAATTATGCATAATTGTGAGCAATTTTTTTACATTTTGCCAAACTTGTTTTTTTCTAAAACAAACAGTATGAAAATTACCCTTTTAATTTTTTATGTTTTTCACGTTATTATTATTATTTCTATTACACTAAAATTTTACAAAAGAGGAATGTATGAACATGTATGGATATATTTCATATATAATTATACGCATGTTTATGAATATTTATGTATGTTTACATACATATATTCATGTATGAAAATTTTTTATCGGGTGACGTCATTTGATATTAAAAATGAACTTATAAATTAGACGTCAGTAAAATCATTAATATAATGTTTTTATGATAATATTTTACTTCTGTGTTCTACTTGGAAGGTGTGAATGCTGTTAAGTTAGTGCCTAGAATTACAAATTTTAGGCTAGCTCTGTTCAAGAATGATTGATGATATAAAACAATTTTTAATTGACAACGTATACCATAGCTATTAACTCACTTGAATTCCCAAGAGACTCATAATGATGATAGTAACGAAGAGTAACATAAATGAATACATTTCAAATAAAGAATTCAACAAACGGGCATATCTGAAAGACACGCAAACAAATGATTCAAATGCAAAACATTTTGTATCCAAAAAGAATACAAATTGAAAAGTATGCAAAACTCACTCAATACTCAGCTGGTGTTTCCGCAAGAGAAGTACCAGTTCGTGATAAGTCTGGTCTTCGTAATCTCGTGATTTGCTCTTATTACAAATTACATCCTTTACATTCTCAACAAAATAACCATTGTTTTTTTTTGAACTTTCCGAGACTAGATTTTCTAGTCGGTGCCTTTGAAACATGATCAAAATTTTATCTACGATATGCGAATATTTAACAAAAAAAACAAATTTTTCTTTTACATTAAAGGTTCTCAGAAAATAAATGGTATAGATATACGATACCCAACAGCAGCGAACAGACTGCATGCATGTTGCGCGAGCGACATGTAGCTCGTATCGGTTATTATCATGAGGCTCATAGTCAGTACAGTTGTCAGGTATGAGTGAAGTAATACAGGATAATAATACATCTCTCTGTCGAAGCTGTAGTCGATATCGAACAGGTATTTGTAAGAGCGCGATTTATTAAGAGGAATAAAGAGATCTAATAATTGCGGTGTTACTGGGATCAGCATGTAAAGACTCATCAACGAATAAATGACAACTGCAACTCGCATTATTATTACGATGTGAAAACGTACAAATAAACAATCAAGCCGTATTATTTAGATTTTAGATTCAGGTACAATGTACAGTGTGCAATTTAGAATGATACATGAATAGTGCGTGTGAAAACGTTAATCATGAATCATGATGAGTCGGCACGATTAAAAGTCGCACGACATGCATGTGATTTATTTCATCATTACCGACATAACTTATCGTCATTTTCCTTCCTATGATAGCGTATTCGTGCATAATTTGTATCTCCAAAGAATGCGTAAAAATTCGCCAGTGATAATCAATGAGCGACAACAGGTGTTCTATCTGAGAAACAATGCAAAACGAAGGATACAATCCGCGTCTTGTGATTTTTAAGGACTTAAGCAAAAGAAGAAGAACCCGCAAAATCTTACATTCTTATTTTTAAAAACTATGGTAAACAATTTACAGTAAGCGCCAAATGTAATTAATACTACAATGAAGCATTCACAGTCCTCGGTTATGGTTTGCCATGTTTCAGACAGTCTTACAAACTGAAAATCGATGATAATAATTGTGGACACTTTTGCGCGTCTCTAGAATTTCCACCTACCTGCATTAAGAACAATGTAAGTTATGGATATGCAGAGTGGAAAGCATTTTTTTGTTACTTCTCCGTTACTTTTTATAATAAACATGACGTTGCAATTTTTTTTAATAAACTCTAAGATTGTGCTAAAATTGCCGACTTATAAAAAAAAAACTGCAACGTTATTATCAAATTGTTTATTGTAACTGCGACGTCATTATCAAATTGTTTATTATAAAAAGTAACAGAAAAGTAACAAAAAAAATAGCGTTTCCCAACTCTGTCAATATATGTACAATTGCGACAAGAATAATAATTTAAAATGCGATAAAACGATCCTTTATCTTCGATTATCTTTTGTAAATAGGAGCTGTATGGATGATTTCAGATCTGTTTTAGGTAGGTCAATTTCTCTTTTCTTTGACTAATTTTTAATCTATTTCTTTTTTCTTAATAAAAATATGACAAATAGATTTAATGTTAATTTCTAAGCAATTATAAGAATTTAAAAGAATTTCTAATTAACTGGATCAAATTTTAATTTTTGGGAACTTTGAAATTTTAATCGCTTAAAACACAAAATTATATTTGTAATTTTTTGTCAAGAAATCGATTTAAAATTGATGAAAAAACATAATATTTGAATCATTGTATGTAACATCCTTACAAACGGTATACTAATTAATTGTTTATTGACATTATAATACTATGAAGCCAAATATATCTTGGGTATCTGCGAGTTTAAAAAAGTTGTCAGAAAATTATTCTCAAGATGTTCTTTCAAAAAAGTTATTTAAAACTTGAAAAAGTTTTATTTAAAGTCGTCTTTTAAGTTTTCGTTTTAGTAATTAAACGTGTGGTACGTTAAAAAATGATAATTTAAAATTACTTGCGGCACAGTTAGAGATTAGCCGCATAATTTTATTGATTGAATTGCTTTAGTATGTTTAATTGATATGAAGTAACACACACACACACACACACACACACAC